TTCCTTTTTTTTTTTTTTTTAAGTTTTTCATAGTGTTCCTTGTAGAGGTCTTTGAATTCTTTGGTTAGGTTTATTCCTAGGTATCATACTTTTTTCTGGCTATAGCATCATTAATATGACCACTGCTGAAGTTCAAAATCAAATAATGAAAAACATTTAGATTTCAATTCCAATACTCAATTCACACTCAGTTGAAACTTAATGATCTGCAAATTTAAACTTGAATGGAAAAGTGAATTTCTTTTTGCTCATTTGACCCTATGATTTTTGTCTGCCACAGAAGACAAGCTAATAATGAACAGCATCAGTATAAAAGCATGAGAAAGGGGATGGAAACCAAATTTGGTAAAATTCCTAAAAGCTGGGATATATCTTCCCTCTAGAAATCATCTGAAGGTTGGATAGAGGGGAAGTTCTTCATTCAACTCAACCATTTCTTAGCAATCACAGGGGTGACATTTGTGTTGTATGTTCTGAGGAAAGATAAACCTGTTGTCTTCTGCCTCTGTGGCAGCTTCCTTGCCTGAACTGACATTCTTTCATCTTCATCCTGCAACAAGTCTTGAGAGGAGAATGGAAGAGAAGGAATTGTGGTGTGACCCTCTCACCTGGGGCGTGATTTCTCATTTTCTTTCTCTTAGATATCTGCCTCTCGGTCTTTCTCTGGCAAATGCACTTGTCTTATGGTACAAAATCTAAAAAAGTAAATTATTACTATTACTTCTGTTATGAACAACTACTACACCTGTTTCTGGTAGTACTGATACTACTGCTGTTTTTGTTGTTGCTGCTATAATCAGCACAGCTGGTAAGCTAGTTTGTGTGGGCTCCTTTCAGGCCTGGGGAAGCACATTCACATTTCGCATTGTGATACATTTTTGGCCACCCACCAGGGATGGGCATGGCAGAGGAAAATGGGAAACATTTGGATACAAGAAAAAGTTGGAGAGTTTATGCTTAAAAAGTCACTTCTAAAATTGTGGTGTGACCCTCTCACCTGGGGCGTGATTTCTCATTTTCTTTCTCTTAGATATCTGCCTCTCGGTCTTTCTCTGGCAAATGCACTTGTCTTATGGTACAAAATCTAAAAAAGTAAATTATTACTATTACTTCTGTTATGAACAACTACTACACCTGTTTCTGGTAGTACTGATACTACTGCTGTTTTTGTTGTTGCTGCTATAATCAGCACAGCTGGTAAGCTAGTTTGTGTGGGCTCCTTTCAGGCCTGGGGAAGCACATTCACATTTCGCATTGTGATACATTTTTGGCCACCCACCAGGGATGGGCATGGCAGAGGAAAATGGGAAACATTTGGATACAAGAAAAAGTTGGAGAGTTTATGCTTAAAAAGTCACTTCTAAAATAGAAATCTACCAGCTCTATCAAACACTTCAGCATGATGAAATTTCAGTTCTTTATTAGAAATTTTCCCAGTCCTATGTATCATTACAGAACTATTCTTAGTATACATATGTGTATATAATCATTATGAACTGGCTGTAAGTCAAGGTTTTAAAAAAATATTTGTATATAGCACACTCTGTTTTCCTTGGAGGATTGGTTTCCCCCACTAGAGGCAAGATTGCTTTGAGCTTAGAGATTCTGTAGAAGGAGATCTGAATTTGACTCCATATCATCTAATACACATTTTATCAGGAGTTAAGAAAACATATTAACCAAATCAACTCTGTCTTGATCATTATTGCATTACTAAGAGACATACATGAGAGTGGCTAGTTTATAAAGAAATAGGGGTTATTGACTCAAAGCTCTGATGACTGGAAGTCTGAAGGCTTAGGCCTGGCATCTGGAAGGTGTACAACATGGGCAGTTGAAGCACAGAGGATGATAAGCATTTGCAGAGGGAACTGTGGACATATTTCTCTGTTTTATAATAACCAGGTCTTCTGGGAGCCAACCCTTTCTCAGGAGAGCTAAAACGTCCTGGGCCTCACGAAACCTCATTAATCTATTTATGATAGCATTGCCTCTATGACACAATCACCATGATCCCATCACAACCCATTATACTTTTCTAACTCCCAACCTCAAATTCCAAAACATGAAACTTTTGGACAAACTGCCATCCAAATCATAACAAACTTGAAGAAGTCTCTTAGCCTGAGCATCAGTTTTATTGTCTATATATTCTGAATACTGTAACTGGATTTTCTTTGAGGACACAGGGGAGAAACACACATAAATATAATTTGTGAGCTGCCAGGCAAAGTAGAGTTATTACGTGACTGTGACAAATTTTTCTTCTGATTTCCAGTGGCACTTTGTACTGGAGGGCAAGTTTAGTTTGATGTAGAGGTGAAAGCTATAGTCTGGTTGGAAGTAAGTTCCATACCTGAGGAAATAAGTCTGGGAGCCAAACCATGGGGCTTTCCACTTTGTTGGTCTGGTGACCTGAGATGAGTGACTGCAAACAGAATCTAAAAGCTACATAGCTCGAGGACTACAGTGATAATTAAGTAGAAAATATTTATGAAGGCACTGGGCTGGTGTTTCTGTGGTTACTTGGCCAGTGTGTTCAGAGCATTCCTCCAGGGTAGAAAAAGGTAGAGGTGAGTCAGAGTGGCACTGAGTAGACAGCTTATAGATGGGAAAAACCTAGACTCAGACTCACAGTACTGGCTTCATCAGCTCTGTGACCAGAGAAGAAATGCCCTCAGCCTATTTCCTCAGAAGTAAATCAAGAGTAGTAATAACAATAATAATGATTTTCTTCTTAGCTTTTGGGAGTTGCTGTAAGGACCTAAGAAAAGTAAGGTTTCACATGTAATAAGGCCCCCAAAATTTGTCATATCCCTCTTCACCCCTAAAGTTTAGAGTCATGCCCATGATAATTGTCCTCATTCAAGATAATCTTAAACCATGCCCAGGTGTGTTATGTTGATTGAAAGCAGGGTCCAGGGTGCTGTTTTGATAAAGTGTAGTCTGTTCACTATAACTTTTTACCACCTCTGCCTCCAACAAGCTGCCTTTTGGGTGGTGAAACACTGATAAGATTAATGGAGGTAAAGGAGAAAAGGAAAAAGAGGTGCAACTGACAGAAAGTGGAATGCGGTGCAGGAGAAGATACAGTGCTAATCCCAGTGCATTCAGTAAGATGAGGCCCTTCCTGTACCCCCCCCCCCTTTTTTTTTTTTTGAAAGAGGTTATATCAGCAGTGAGGGTATGTGTGCTTACCAGAGACAGAGAGAAACAGAGAGAGGAAGTGATAAATCACCACCATGCTACTATCCCTTCTCCTCCAATCTCTTCTCGGATCTTGGGCATGCATGCATATATACCTGGCATGAGTTTCAAGCTGCCAGGTCCAGGACTTGAACCATGGTCAGCTCCTTAACCACTACACCACCTACTGGCCTGCCTTTTTTACCATCCTCCTCTCCACTAGAGTGTTGTGAAGGGGAAGCCAACCCAGATTTTCAGAGCACAGGCCAGCTCTGTAACACAGTGGTAATGTGCTGCTCAGGAGAAGCTGGATCCCACATGGTGGCCATGTTTTGAGCCTCTGGCCTGTTCTGCCTTAAACACACTGGCATACATACAAGTAGCCAGGATCTGATGAGCTAGAGAACTGGAGGAAAGGGATCATGGCATAACCAGATCTTATGGAGGGTGCTCATCTCTCTCTTTCTCATACGTGCTTATGTATGTGCTCCATCATGCATAAAGAAAATAATAATTATAAAAAAGGTGTCAAAAGGAGAGAACATATGGTGTGGTGGGAGAAGCTACACCAACCTGGACTGGGGAGACCTGTGGCTCACTGCCAGTCCTCTCAAGCTACAGCCTCATGACCAGGTCTGTTCACGTGGGATGTGTAATAGTAATACTGAGAATACCTAATGTGCGTTAAACTTTTACCTGGTATTCTACCTGCATGTTCTTGGTAAATTCTGAAACAAGTCTGAAGGCTGGATCTGAAGCCCAGTAAGTCCCTTACCTCCCTGCTCCTGTCATAGAGTTAGAAGGTGGCAGAGCCAAAGTGGGAAACCAGGTACTCTTGACTGCCCCTTCTGCTCTAAGCTTCTCTGTCATGGATGGCTAACGATGTCTAAGTAAACATGTCTGCCTGGGGACACCCTTCAGATGTGGTTATACAGGCAGTTTGTCTTATCTTCCTAGAGAGGGAAGTGGGGGATAAGTTCTTTTGCTGCTGAAGGCTCAACGAATAAATGGAATTGGTTTCTGACAGACTGTTAATTAGAGGACTTCATAAAGATTACACCCTAGTATAGTAACCTGACTTATATGTGAGTAGCAAACAAGAGAATAGATGGCCGCCACCCCAGAAGAGGGCAGTGACCTAGGAGTTGTTGATGTTTTAGACATGAAGGGAATGAGGAAATACCTTCACCAAGGTCATGGTGCTCAACTGTGCAAACACTACTGAGAAGCTGGACGAAAATGCCCACAGGATTTAGCAGTAGAAGGCAGTTTGCTTTGCCCGTATCTAAGAGCACATCATCCATTTCACTCTGTTTTTATTCAACAGGGTTTTCGAGGCTGTGTTCTATAATTTTGTCCACAGTTTGGATCACTGTGTGCATGCCCTACTCCACACAATGCATGTAAATCCCACCAGGACACAAGTGTACTTGCTGTAGCTGAATGGCTCGGCAGTTGCCAGAATTAGTTATCTAAGTCTCTCTGGACCTGGCTGTTTCAATCAGTCAATAAATCTGCAGCTCTAATGATTATTTTTGTCTTTAGACATATTTCGCCCGCATCAGAAAGCTGATGTGTTTTTCTTAAACTTTTTTTTTTTTTTTTTTTTTTGCTTTTGGTCATGAAGTATTCCAGTCATGCATTCTGTTGGCTGGAAGAGTGAATTAATAGTAATCTAATCATGCCGGAGGCGCTAATGGCTTTGTGAGCTGGCATCGAGGTGAGGCTGCATGTCTCTGTGGGAATGCCACGTGAATGAGCCTACTGCTCACTTAACCTGCTGTTCTTTTCTCTCTCTCTGTTTTCTCTCCTAGGAAACAAATGGAAGACTGCTGTGACCCTGCCCATCTCTTTGCTATGACTAAACTGAACTCCCCCATGGGGAAGAGCATGTGGTATGATGGGGAGCTTTTATACTCATTCACCATTGACAATTCGACATATTCTCTCTTCCCCCAGGTTGGTAAAGAGTTGATTCATGTCAATTTTGTTTCTTATGTTTCTTGTTGTCTTAAGAAAGGGATACATAAGTTTGCCTAACCTATTGGATCTACTTTTGTTCACCTTCTTCCTTCTCCTCTTCATTTTAAGTATTTTCTTGATGTCTGTCACTTCTTTTGGGGAAGAACTCACACAATGTTTTGATGCAAGAGTGGAAGTAGAACACGACAGGGGAGTAGGAGATCACAAATGGCAGTTTTCTAGCCCTTCCAATTTAAGTCATCTGAGACTGAGGGCAACATGCAGAGAATCTCCAGGGAATTGTGGAGTTCTACTGTCTGGAGACTGCTGTGGAATGAACTGGAGGGTTTTTGTGATATTGAAATGCTTTATTAGGACTGATATCGCCCTCCAGGAGTGAGTACCACATGGCTAGACAGTTGCTTCTTAAAATCTTGAATGTTAAGCCTGTGGTTAGATGACTGCTATGACGTGGAAGGGTGACCAATATGGACAGAAAGAATTCAATGTGACCACTTCCGAAATGGTTTAAATCAAGCTACTTCCTAAATGTTTTTTTTCCTTGGTTTTCTGAGTATCAAAATAAAAGGTTTTACTGGAATACATTTAGGCAGAAAGTGGAGAAAAGAAGAAAATCTTTAATCTAGGGAAACCTAGTTAGGGGGAGAGGAGACCTTTCTGTAAAGAATTATTTATTTAATTTTATTTAGTGTTATAATTATTTATTTTGCTATAGGGCAAGTGTACACGAGAGAGAGAGAGAGAGAGGGAGAGAGAGAGAGAAGGAGAGAAGGAGGGAGGGAGGGAGAGAGAGAGAGAGAGAGAAGGAGAGAAGGAGGGAGGGAGGGAGAGAGAGAGAGAGAGAGAAGGAGAGAAGGAGGGAGGGAGGGAGAGAGAGAGAGAGAGAGAATGAGATAAAGCAAGCCACTAGGTCTGGAACTTGAACTGTAGTTGGCCTTGTAGGAGTCCAACACTCTAGGTACCATGCCACCTTCTGACCCAGGAGAGGAGATCTTAAAATTGCCATAAGAAAAAAATTGAGAAGTGATCTCAGCTTCCCCAAGTCTTCTAGTCACTTTTGGTTTGACCAGATAATTGTATAGGAAGAGAATTCATGATCAGGGATGGGAAGTGGGACTGAACCTTTCATGGATTTCTATTAATAGCCAATGAGTCTTTAAAGGAGGGATTCTAGCGGCCAGTAGGTGGTGTGGTGGGTAGGGTTCTTGGATTCCCACATGGCCCACCAGAGTTTGTATCTTGGACCCAGTGACTTGAAGATCACAGTGGTGCATGTACATGCGTACTCCAGATCCCAGGAGGAGAACAGAGGAGAAGCAATTGTGGCATGTCCATCCCCCCGCTCGCCCAAGGGGGTGATTTCTCACTTTCTCTCTATTCTCTGTGTCTTTCTGTGGCAAGTACACGTGTCCTATTCCTATGACAAAAACCTAAAATAAAAATAAATAAATAAATAAATAGATAAATAAATAAATTCGTGGGGTCCTATAGAGTTGAAGGGCAGGTTCTGCTAGATCTCCAAAGTCATACTCTGTGAAATCACTCACATTTACTAGCTCATCCTTAGGTGTTTCCGTTTAATTTAATTGCTTTGGAGAGTAGTGATACTTTAAACCTGAATAAGAAATAGACTTAATTTTTTGACAGCATTTATATGTTCTCTCTCTATTCTTCATTGACCCTTTATATACTTCTGTGGCAAAGGAAATGACTGAGTCATAAAACGTGGAACTGAATTTTATCTCCATCTCTTACTAACTGGATGCCTTGGACAGATCACTTAACTCTCCCGAGACTCAGCTGTATGATCATCTGTATACTAGACAGAACAGCATTCATCCTGTCTGCCTCACGGAGCTGTGGTTAAGATCGATTCATGCAATGCATGTTAGCGTGTTTTGTAAAGTACAAAGAAATTACATAAATGTTTGATGATAATGTGCTAATTTATATGTTGCATCTTGAGACTGAGGAATGAAATATGTGATTGTATTAGAGCTAATTTTGGCAAGATACAGAAACCTCCCTAGGTATTTTTGACAGGAAGATATTTCACTTAGGGAATTAGCCATTCCAACAAATCATTGAAAAAATAAAGTGGGTGGTAAGGTAGCTCCTGGAGTTACAGAGTTCAAGAACTTAGTGCTCTATCTGCATCTAGGGACTAGGGAGCCCTAACTGCCATGGCCATCAGCCTGGTCATGACTGCCTCCCACAGAAACAGAAGCAGGATGGTGGGTTCCCAAACTCCCACTTCATCCAGATCTCCCTTGAGTGTATCTAATAGGTAAAGATGAGTTTGCATCCAGAACACGGTTTATAAAGAGGGTTTTTATTATTATTATTATTTTGTTTATTTGTTTATTTATTTATTTATATTTGACCAGAGAGGGAAGTAGGGAGAGAGGGAGGGAGGGAGGGAGGGAGGGAGGGAGGGAGAGAGAGAGAGAGAGAGAGAGGAGGAAAGAGAGAAAGCGCAGGACTCAAACCACGGTCAGTTATGTGGGAGTCCAGTGCTCCTAGCCACCATGCCATCTGCCAGGCCCCCTATAAAGAGGTTCTTGAGAGGTGGTTTTAAACTACCAACCCTTAGCGTAAAGCTAGAAATAGCATAAAACAGAATATAAGCTAACTAATCCATGAATCTTCTATTGACAAAAACTGGTATTAACTAACTGTGAAATGAGGTGATATAAAGACAATCTTCTTCAACAGCTCATCAAATAGAAAAACAAATTTTACAGAATCCCAAAGAGACTTTTGGTAGATGAGGGCTTTCAGTCATACCAACTGACTTCTAATTTTGTACTGGAAAATAGATTTGAAGGGAAAAGATGAATTGAAGAAATATAAACTAGCATTCTATCTTATCTGCCAGTTGCAGCAGTCGGCCAGTGGGACACATTTCATTTTTAAAATGTGTGCCTCTTTATCCATTTGCAAGGCCAAGGAGCTGTCCTTGAATAATAAAGGAAAGCAGTTTTTTTCTTAGGAAGCTGAAGCCATTATAGCACTGAGTTTGTAGCCAGTCATTACAAAAGGCTGCATCAATTAAATGAGTAGATTCTTAAAAGAGGTTATATATAAGGACAAGCAGGTGGCATGGTGGTTAAGTCACTGGACTTCCACAGGACTGACCACAGTTCGAGTCCTGAACCTGGCAGCCTGAAAATCATGCTGGACATATGTGTGTGTGTGCCCAAAATGCCAGGAGGAGAATGGAGGAAAAGGGATTGAGGCATGGCCATCCTAGCTGGGGGTTAATTTCTCCCTTTTCCTCTCTCACTGTTTCTCTCTAGCAAGTGTACACAACATATGGCAAACAAAACAAAACAAAACAAAACCAACAACAAAAAAACCCCAAACAAAACAAAACAAAAAGCTTAAAAAAAGAGGTTACAGATGTATTTTTCTGATATTCTGAATTAAGTAATTCATTGATAGAAAATTCGGGAAAATCAGTTTATATCACAAAAAGGATAATATATCCTCCCCCCCTTTTTTAAAAAAGATTTTTGCCGTGAGGTGCATGTGCTCACTGGAGAGAGACAGAGAGAGAGGGACGGTGAGAAATCGCCCCCAGGGGTGTAACCACACTACAGTACTTTCTCCTCTTGGGATGTGAGGCATGCACACACATGAGCCTTGCATGATTTTCAAGCTGCTGGGTCTGGGACTCAGACCTCAGGGTTAGCCATGTGAGATCCAGCATCTTAATTGCCACAGCCACCTTCTGGCCCTTACCCCATGTTTTAAAGAAATGTTTCTAGTTTGTTATCAGCAAACTCATTTGCCAGTTAATTGATATATTTCATTTATGTTCTCTGTGGGGAAATTGTAGCATTGTGCACATGAGGCGAAAAGCAGCTGTGTGGAACAGGCTCAGTGCAGCCACTGTGAACACAGCATCCTCCTTTCCCTGAGTTCCAGCAGAATAATGCCAAGTCATTCATTCTCTAACTCAGATCATACATCTGTGCCTTTGCACTCTTCTTCTAAAATACTCAATATATAGTAGCCACCATTACTATTGTGATTATTCTGATGCCTTTCTTTTCATCTTTTTTTTTTTTTTGGAGAGGTTTTTGCTATAAGGTGCATGTGCTCGCCAGACAGACAGAGAGAGACAGAGAGACAGAAAACGAGAAATCACCCCCCAGGGGGGATGGCCATGCCGTAATCCCTTCTCCTCCGTTCTCCTCTCGGGATCTTGGGCACTGACGCACACATGCCTGGCGTGAGTTTTAAGCCACCGGGTCCGGGACGCGAACTGTGGTCAACTACATGGGAGTCCAGCAACATAGCCATTATGCTAACTGCTGCTCCCTCATTTATTGTTTTGTTGCTGCTACCAAGATGCAGTCTTAGAGGGAGATGCTCTGTACTTTGTGAGATGACACCAGTCCTGACCAGGACTGTTTATCTCCTGGAGAAGACGGTGAAGTGCTGCACCCTTAAGAGATGCCACCGTGGCTTTCCTTTATTACAGAGAGCATGTCGTTTCTTGTCTGAACCTCCCACAACTTGTCATAGCAATGATTATGCAGTTTATGCAATTTGGGCACAGCATGGCAGTTAGCTACGTAAGTACATATCTACACATTGCAGCTTTATGAATGTGCTTACCTGCTGATCTCAGTGCCACAGCTTGTGAATTTTTTTTTAAGTTTATTTTATAGATCCAACAGGATCTTGATACATCATGGTCCGCGTTCCCCAGTCCTCTAGCTCCTCAAGATCTTGGGTTTGCATGGGCCCTGAGTGTTTTCAGACTGACCCAGGGACCCAAACCTGCAGTGGTCTGTGTGGCTTCCTGAACTGCATATCAGTTTGCGACCAACTGAGTGATCAGGCTGGGCTCTGTGAGCTTTTGAGGAGCAAGGACAATGTTTTATTTTGTGCCCAGTGCAATGCTTCCCCTCACTGTAGATGGTAATTTCCAATATTCCTGTTTGTAAAGAGATTTCTTGTCTGCG